ATATTATATTATATTATATAATAATGAGGTATATACTTTAGTAATACACTGAGCACTGGACACCTTTGTTTAGGAATTTTTCCAAACATATATCACAACTATACAAATAAACAAGTAATAAACAAACATGTTTAATGAATGAACATTCAACCTGAGGACAGATGACGTTGTTTTCTGGGTTGTGTGTGACTCGTTCCAGTGAACACACACTTCCGCTGGCCAATAGGAGCAGTTGGACTACCCACCACGTCAACTTCATTGCGCAACAGTTTCACTCTCGTATCCAAGAGACAATTAATCAAAAACTGGTTAAGAACAAAATCCTGTAGGTTATATCCTTCGCTATGTTGTCTCTATGAGGCTTTAGGAGAACCCAAGATGACCATATTCTGATCGGCTCGGATACACAGTCCAAATCCACCGTCTGGTTCTCCAGTTTCGCCGAGCAGGAAGCGCGAGGGATCGCAGTTAGACGGCATACTGTCTCGTCTGTCTGTAAGGAGATAGAAACGATTAGTGTTTTATTTTTCCGCGATTCAAACTCTTAGCTCTTGTAATATCGGATTTGAGCTTCTGGTTCTAAACGTTGGTTGATCTGTGTTCGGTAAGAAGTCACCTGGCTTCCAGTATGTCCAGGTGTGTCTGTGTGTATGACAGATTGCCAGATAACGTGGGTGTACATGAATCATGTTTGCTGCTCTGCCTGGAATGCCTGGATTTCTGATACATATTAAATATTGTTCTCATTTATTGTACTGTATGTAAACTTTATTTCCACTCCAGTTCAGAGAACATTCAAGGTAACATTCCCACAATGCTAGCAAAATAACAAAATGTAACATTCCCTCAATGTTTTCTCTAACGTTCAAATGAATACGTTTTTTTTTTTTAAAACATTTAAAAATAAATGTTTAGATGTTCTGAGAATATTCAGAAATAATGTTATAACTTAATGGGAATGTTAACAAAAAACCTTCTTAGAGCATTTTTGTTAACTAGTTGAGTAGGCTACATTAAATCCATTTTTAAATAGTTTTAACTGTTTAAACTACATTTTAAAATATTTTCATTTCTTACCATCCTTATTTGTCATTGACCCTCATTTATTTTTAATTGAGACTACTCTTTAAATACTTTCAAAGTCTCTAGTATATAATTGTATTGTATTACTGGATTTCAAAATACATATTGTTGATGATACTGGTTGCTTATGGTAATAAAAATGACAATAAAGATTCGTTTTTATAAATAAATGCTCTCTCTCACACACTCACACATACACACACACACACACAACAAATTTACTTTAGCTTTAACAGAAAATGTTACTTACTGCCCAGTGGTATAAATGAGAATGTGTTTTCGAAGCACTGCAGAGTATGGATTATAAAGCCTCATAAGACGTTGTTGGCTTTGACACACATTAATTAAATGAAAGAGCATGTGAGTGAACTTTGAGTGTGTGAGAGACTCATCCCTCCCAGCTGACAATCAAAACACACACTAGCACCAAATGGCTTTATGGAAGAAAACTGCAGTTATTAAAAAGGTGTTTGTGTGCTCATAATTAACAGAGCTGATAGAGAAATATGATCTTGGTTATTTGCAGCGTCGTAAAACTAACCAGGAAATGGCCAGGTGCAAAGTTCCCTGTCTGGATCATTCTCTGTAGCGAGTGAATTTGTTAAGCAGCTCTCTTTCGTGTATCATGGCAACTGGTTATAATAATTCACCTGGAATTAAGAGTTGCTGTTAATAACTGACAGAAACCACCCAAAACAGGGAGTAGCATAGTGAGTTCATCCAGATGCTTCTTTTAAAGATAATAAGGCTCAAGGTTTGCTATGGGATTGTGATCATTAGAAACACCCCCAAAACACCCATCCCTGAAGCTAAATGCATCTAGGGGAGACTGGGGCGAGTTGTCACAAGGGCAAGAGCAGCTATCATGTTGGGGCAAGATGTAACATGATTTTCATGTGTTGTAGGCTACTGTATAAATTAAGTAAAAAATAGCTAAAAATCCAAATAGGCCGTTTAATTGCAAGTTCCTGTGTGACAACATGCCCCTCTATTACTGTAAATGAATATTACTCGTATTAATAATAATAAATGTTAGTTGCAATTTTTTTAAACAGCATGTGCAACAGCTATTTTGCAATCAAGACTTTAAAGTTTGCACAGAAATTGAGTCCCAAATGTAAATATAGAAATATTTACTAGCATAACGTATTCTTCAGCAAACTTTTTTTCACTATAATGTCCTGCTTAAAGGCAAAACAACATGAAAAAACTTTGATTTATCAGATTGTCAAATTATGTCATTTAATTTGACTGAATCAGCTTGACTGTATTTGATTACACCAATAAACGTACGTTTGTTGTTGACCATTTGGTGGACATTAAATAAAGAACATGTATATTTTGTGTGCTTGTTCTAGAAATGTCTAATGGCTAGATGGGTCTTTCTTGAACAAGCCCAAAAAGAAATCTGAATAAACAAGTTGGTTAGCATTCTTTCGCTTCTTTTAGCTCTACTTTGGAAAAAAGGTAGAGGGATTTCTCAGACCTGCCCAGTCACATTCATTAAATGCTTTTTATGTCTTCTTCAAAGAGCTCATTTGATGCTTTTAACATAACAGTTGTGCCTTAAAGAGACTGCAGTGTATGGTTTATGTGTTTTTTGTGAAATCATTAAAAAGTATCTTTTTATTTCCTGTAAGAAGAACATTGAGAGGATATTTATTGATGATTTTGTTACAGGCAGAGGTTTCTTTTTCTTGTTCTTTTTTTAATAATTGTTTACAAATCAACATTATTCAGCAACCATAACACTACATCTTAACATTTAGAGCATACAAATTTTAACAGATGTATTATATTGCTACTACAAAAATATACTTAAACTCAAATTGCTTTTTTGTGCAGTCAGGAGGCATTTGACCTGAGTATATTAACAGTGAAGTCACTAAGCGCCCCCTGCAGACAGTATTATATGATACAATCCAACATTCAGCACTGGAAAGCTTGATATTTGTAATATTTTTTACAAAACCTCAATTTTTTTAGGCCCAAACTGAGCAAAAATGTGCAATTTTGTACTGTTACTAATAGGCCATTTGTATGGCCAAAATGTCGGATAAAATTATGATATCTTAATGTAAATCTGTGAGCTCTTTAACAGTATAGCAGACAGCTTAAACATAAAAATGCATATGAATATAAAAATCCACATGAATATCAGTTGTCACTCTATGTCTCCTAATAAAACATCTTAATAAGCTGATATTTTAATACTACGTTTTTATGATCAAATCTCTGTAGTTTCAAAACATATACTGCAATGCAATACAATGATGACTGAGTGATGAACAAATAAACAATCCTTGATGATTTTAACATGATTTTTCTAATAAATGATGTATGGATAAACAAGTAAACCTAAGCTGCTTCAGTCCTGTAAGTGATCATCTTGAAATATTACTAACAATATAAAAGTTATTCTTACGTTTACTTTATAAGAATCATTAAGGATTTCACAGCAAAAAGACTACCACAACCTGAAAGGGGGACATTTTTATAATTAGAATAAAAGGCGTTTTACTTGCAAAAATTTCATCATGTTGATAATTTAGAGGCCTTGTAAAATTGCATATTAAATATGATACAGTAGGCTTTATATAGGGTTAAGGAAGTCTGTTGTCTGTGAAAGCCTCCCTATGTCCCTATTAAGAACACTGAATAGAATAGCACAAAAATAGAACAGAATAAATTGCATAATATCATAGTTTATATAAATAGAGATACCATGCCAGAAAGTGCTCAATAATAGTGAATGCCTGTACGGAGTGCCACATTGCATAACTCCTCATTTGGGATAGACATAATAATGCAGCACTGTCTGTTTGCACAAAGCGAAACTTGAGCTCAAAGCTGGTTATGTATTTATCCTCGACGACCTCTCAGATGACACTCTATTCAAAAGTGAAGTTAAAAAAATGTGTTTTTCTAAAATATGCTATTGTGGAATTCTTAAAAAAGTTAAAAGCAAAATATATTCAACACATACATCTAACAAAATGCGTTTACTTATGTATTCACAATAACTGAGGTCCATTTATTATGGGAAAATTCAAAATACTTGAAAATTCTGAAACTGGGAAACATTGAGACTTAATTAACATTAAGCTTATCAAATGCTGATAGAAGTAAGAACCCACAATACAAGCTCAGCATCTATAATCTTAAAAAGAAAAAGCACAATGTATACACTAAGTGCTTCATATACTTCTTATTCTTTATTTTTTTAAGTTTATGTTTATGCTTTTATGTGAGGTTCAAGTTTACAAAAAGGGGGAGGTTTCTTTATCCGGTCAATAATAGCCAATAGCACGAATTGGACATGAGCTTAAAGGCTGTGTGGTCTGTTTGCTGTGCAGGTCATGATGGATCGAGCAGCTCTCCGGCTGATTCTCTTGGGTGTTTTTCTCATCTCAGCCTCTTCAGGTGTTGTTAAGAAGGTGAGGCCCAAATAACATATCAGTCAATGTGTTTAGGGTACAAAATCAGATAGAGGCAAAGTTTCTTAGGTTTACTTGATTATCTATACATCATTTGTTAGAAAAAAAAATCATGTTAAAATGTACATATAAACAGGCTTTTGAGGTATGTTTATTGGTTCATCTCTTAATCATCATTGTATTGCATCGCATTATATATTTTGCCCACAATTGAAACTACAGGATTTTGATAATGAAACTAAGCATTTAAATATCATCTTAAGACATAGCCTATAATTGGAAGATATAGCGTGATAACTGGCATTATATGTATTTTATATAAGAAGTCTGCTGTACTGTTATAAAAATCTCAATCAGATAAAAATCAGAACTTCATCTTATTTCTTTGCCAGATAAACATCTTCATCTGAGCCAATACAATTGAGGTGTCTTTTAGTCCAAAGGCCTACGCCACAACAGTCATCACAAGCCGTGTTGCGAACACACTGAATGAATCTCAAGAGATCCAGTTTGAGGTCAAGATTCCCAAGAATGCCTTCATCAGCAAATTCAGAATGTAGGGAAATTCAGTACTCTTAATTACAAATGTGCTGAGCGTGTCTGCAAACTCGTATGAAGACAACTATAGCCAACAAATTAACTTTTAAGTCAGTTTAGTCTTTTAATTTCTCCATAGGGTTATAGAAGGAAAAACATATGATGGAGTTGTGAAGGAAAAAGAGGAAGCTCAGCAGCAATACAGTCAAGCAGTATCTCGAGGACAAAGTGCTGGACTGGTCAAGTACTGGATTTTTTTTTAAATTAGGTCCATAAAATATGTATTTGTAGTATGTTTAGTAATATGCTGGGATTTGTTTATATTTCAGATCTGTTGGAAGGACTTTAGAGGACTTTAAAACCTCAGTGACAGTGGCTGCTTTTAGTAAAGTGACGTTTGAGTTGACCTACGAGGAACTGTTAAAGCGTCGCCTCGGCAAATATGAGCTACTCATCAATGCCCAACTGGTGCAGCCTGTGGCTGACTTCAAGGTTAATGGAAGAAATGAATAGGACATTGATCATTTTAATGTATAGTTAGATTATGTTTCTTTTCCTCATATCAGATGGATGTGCACATCCAAGAGAAACCAGGAATTTCCTTCTTGGAGGTGAAAGGAGATTTGAGCACCGGTGATCTGGCAAATGCCATCAAAACCACCAGAGCAGACAAAGATGTAAGAACTTAAATGAGGGTTTAAACACAGTTTAGATGTTCTCAATATGCTCATACACTTAAATAGTTCCCAGATGAACAAACTGATCATTTCAGGCATGGGTGTCCTTCTACCCCACTCAAGATCAACAGACCAAGTGTAAAAGCTGTGGAGAAAATGGGTTGAATGGTGACCTGCTTGTAACATATGATGTCAACAGACAAAATCCTAATGGAGAAATCATGGTACTTTTTTTTTTTTTTTTGCGCAATGCAAAAAGTAAATCCTAATGGAGAAATCATGGTTCTTTTTTTTTTTTTTTGCGCAATGCAAAAAGTCCAGAATGTACTTATTTTTCTGTTCTCTCAGGTATCAAATGGCTATTTCGTCCACTACTTTGCCCCCTCTGATGTTCCACATATTTCCAAAAATGTGGTGTTTATCATTGACCGGAGTGGTTCTATGAGCGGCAGAAAAATAGAACAGGTAAAAAATTTCATTGGATACTAGTGGATGGTCAAAGTCTTGTTGAAGATTTCCTCTGATTTCCTCTACTGAAATCAGTTTGGTGTTGTTCTAAGTTAGTAACAAACTGTCCATGTCTGTTAAATGTGAGTATGCAGTCTTAATGAAGAAAGAATAACTTTCAGATGTGCTGTCATTCTTTAGACTCGATTGGCACTGCTAAGGATTTTGAGTGATCTTGATGAGGATGACCACTTTGGATTGATCACCTTTGACAGTGAAGTTAACTTATGGAAGCGTGAGCTCCTCAAAGCTACTGAGGCAAATCTGAAGAATGCGAAATCTTTCGTGAATGAGATCACAGATAGAGGAGGTGAGTTACAGCACTAATGCTACATAAGGAGTAAAAAAGTTGTACCTCACAGTGACACAACTATGTTTGGCCTTCCTTTAGCCACGGACATAAACGCTGCAGTTCTAGCTGGAGTGGACATGATCAATCGACATCCACGAGAGGGAGCAGCCTCCATCCTGATCCTGCTGACTGACGGAGATCCCACTTCAGGCACAGATTCACACTGACAAACACAAGCTAAACTGTGTTTTATCATGTTTATTCAGTCAGCCATGCTTCATCAATACAAAATTTTAATTGCCATCCTATAATATTCAGGGTTTATTAGCAGACCTGTTTATAAAGGGTTTTAGACCTAATTGAAATAATTGTAGGACCAATGGATTATTATCATGACCAATTAGTTTTTTTCAGTCTTTTTCAGTATGAGAGAAAGACAATAAGAAATATGAAAGTGCCTAAAAAGTATCCATTGCTGATCGCTTAAATAACTCAAAAACATAAAAATATGATTTTTAAACAGGTCTGACCAACATAGAGAAGATAATGGCCAATGTGAAAAAGGCCATTGGGACAAAGTTTCCCCTCTATTGCCTTGGTTTTGGATATGATGTTAACTTTGACTTCCTGACAAAGATGTCACTGGAAAATGTTGGAGTTGCTCGCAGGATTTATGAAGATTCAGACGCTGATCTACAGCTGCAGGTGAACTACAGATGATCAGCTGAGAATTCATCTTTAATGCTGAACGGTTCTGTCTTTGAGCACATTTAAAGTTAGTTTTATTTTTAGAGCTTCTATGAAGAAGTTGCCGTCCCTCTCCTCACTGATATTCAACTTAAATATCCAGGAGGGACAAACCTTACCAAGACCAGCTTTAGCTTGTACTTCAATGGCTCTGAGATTGTGGTGTCAGGACAAATCACAGACAACAGTGTGGAGAGTTTCACCACTGAAGTCATCGCAGTATCAGTAAGATCTTCACTCTATGTTTATCAAATTGGATTAGGGGAGGGATTGTGTGGGCAGGTATTTTTAATTTTCAGCAGTCCAAATCAGTATATTTGATATTAGAATCATTGATGGCCAGTTGTTTATAATAGAGTTTATAATAATGACCACTTTGTTTTGAAAGAAAGTTCTTGGCGAAAGTGGTACTGACAGCATTCCTAATAAAAATATTCACTAGTGTTATTATTTCCGTGTAGAAAGGCAGTAATGTGACATATCAGGACACTACAATGACAAAAGACCCCAGTGATGTCCCACCTGAGAATGAAGATTTCATGCAGAGATTGTGGGCCTACCTTACAGTGAAGCAGCTTCTGGAGAGACAGTAAGCTTATGCATTTGGGTCTATAAATGTTTACACACAGACACACAGACATGCGCACACGCGCACGCGCACACACACACACACACACACACACACAGTATATATATGTATATTAGTGCTGTCAAACGGTGCTATTCTCAAGATCAAATCAGTATCGAAAGTGTATATGCCTGGAAGAAGGAACAATTCCATACAAAAGGAATCAAACTTAGAGGCAAACTAATGGCAAACCTCATATGTCTGTGTGTCTTCTCTCGTTATTTCTGTCTCAGGGTGCTTCTTAAAGGACAGGAGAAAGAGGATGAAAAAAAAGAAGCTCTCAAACTCTCCATGAAATACCAGTTTGTCACTCCCCTCACCTCTATGGTTGTCACTAAGCCTCAGGAAGGTGACGTGGAAGTAGCCAACAAACCCAAAGAGGGAGAAAGGGGAGAAAGGGGAGAAAGGGGAGATGTTTATTTGGATTATTTTGACTCGGGTATGTCAAAATATATTTCTTTTTTAATGAATTGAAATAGCTTTTATTTAATTGATTAGTGTTTTTTAGTAGTATGTAAAATGTACAAATGCATGTTAAATAGTAAAGGGCGTTGTTAGGCACAATGCTTAGCACATCCCCATTAGTTGTGAATTTACTGATTTAAAAAAATTATAAAAGGTTATTAAGGACACAAAAATTAATCTAACAATATTTTAATTAAGTGCCATACTGTTTGTAGAAGATACAGCTTCTGACATAGAGCAATACAATAAATGTTACACAGGTGTTTTTAGCTTGACTGAAATGTTGCCGATTTGTGGGAGTGCATAAAAAATGTAAGTTATTCAATTTACAGTATTTTCAGGTTTTTTTTGTTTTGCTTTGTTTAGTTTTTTTCTACTTGCATTTGGTCTCAGAATCATATTGTTCCCCTTCAGGAACTCGAGCTGTGTCGAAACACTTTGGGAACGCCTTTCAGCGTGACCACGCTCTGAATCACGTGTGTAATCAGTCCAATGGATGGGCGAGATGTCACGGGCGTGGTGACGTAGAGACCAGGAAGCTTAAAAGCACGTGCGGTGGATACAGCGGCAGCTTCTGTCATTCACCAAGCGCTCTGTGGTGTGTCAGTCTGAAACTCTGTTTGTCTGTCTTATTTACTGTTGTTTGTCTACCATCGAGTTCACAAGCATGCCTAAGGCCAAAGACAAACATAAGGGCGAGAGCAGGCAGCATTATAGGCTGTGTGTTCCTCCCTGCCCGCACTACATTACGGATGGGGATACACATAGTCTGTGTGTTGTCTGCTTGGTAGCGAAGCATGCGGAGTCAGCTCTCGAGGGAGCTGACTGCCCGCATTGCGAGCATTTGTCGATCCGTACGCTTCGCTCCCGGAAGGCTCTATTTGAGGAGGGAGCCTTCGCCAGCGTTCCTCGCGGCACTGGCCCCGCTTCTGCCGAGGCAGAGCGGCGGTTGCGGTCGTGGGGTTCGCAAATGGATCTGATGGAGGGAATGGAAACGGGCGAGTCCCTTTCTTCTTCCTCACCCACCAGATCCAGCGCTCTCTCTCAGGGATCGGAAGCCCGCACTGCAGTTTCTTCCCCCCGAGGAGGTTGATGTCGAGAACATTGATGAGGCTGGGGACTCACCCCCTCATTCTCCCCAGTATGAGGAGCTACTGGAGGTGGTTACTCACGCTGTGGCCAAGTTGAATGAAGTCGAGTGGCCCGCCAAGAAACAGACCGAACCACCAAAAAGCAAATTTGATGAATTTGAAAAGCAAATCCGCCACCTCCACGCTGGGGCCTCCCGTTTTTCCCCGACCTCCACACCGAGGTGTTGAAGTCGTGGGCGAAGCCTTTCTCGGCCTGGATATTCAGTCCCTCGTCCAGCCACTATGCCAATGTGGTGGGGCTGAATGATCGCGGTTACAGGGCGATGCCTCGGGATGAACAGACGCTCGCGAGCTATCTGTCTCCTGGCACGGCATCATCCCTGAAGGCATGCCCTCCAAGCCGCTGCGGACCACCTCAGTGCTGGTGGGCAAAGGGTACATGGCAGCGGGTCAGCCCTGATTTCAGTGTTCCATGGCTTCTGAGGGCAGGCCCGTCTGGGGAAGAGCGGTGTACACCTCATCATACGGTGCCCGTCTCTCTTCAATGCCCTCAGGAGATCGGTCTGTCAACCCTGCCACCTCCGGTGCTTCAGGGCACAGCAGTCTCCAGCAAGCGCTTCTCTCAGTCTCCGCCCGGGAACGTAGCGGTACTGGGAGGCTCGCTACCTCCACGGAGGTCTCTAGAGCAGCTAGATCATCCGTCCCCCGCCGGTCCTCCGCTTCAGGGCACCGAGCTAGCCACTCTAATAACACCAAAGATCAGTCTCAAGAGACTGATTCCCTTAGTAGACTATTTGGCAGCGTGGAAGCGTCTGCCAAATAATAATAATAATAATAATAATTTGTAACATTTATATAGCGCTTTTCTGGGTACTCAAACCACTTTACATGAAAGCGGGGGAATCTCCTCAACTACCACCAGTGTGCAGCATCCACTTGGATGATGCGACGGCAGCCATAGTGCGCCAGAACACCCACCACACACCAGCTTATTGGTGGAGAGGAGAAAGAGTGATGAAGCCAATCAGTGTATGGGGATGATTAGGAGGCCATGATGGTCAGAGGCCAATGGGCAAATTTGGCCAGGATGCCGGGGTTATACCCCTACTCTTTTTCGAAGGACATCCTGGGATTTTTAATGACCACAGAGAGTCAGGACCTCGGTTTAACGTCTCATCTAAAGGACGGTGCTTTTTACAGTATAGTGTCCCCGTCACTATACTGGGGCGTTAGGACCCACACAGACTGCAGGGTGAGCACCCCCTGCTGGCCTCACTAACACTAATAAATGTGTCTCAATGGGTCCTTCACACTGTAGAAAAAGGCTACTGCATTCAGTTTGGTTCTTCTCCGCCTCGTTTCAACGGGGTGATTCCCACTCTGGTGGGCCCTGAGCAGGCTCTGGTAATGGAACAAGAAGTAAACACTCTCTTGAGGAAGGAGGCCATCGAGGTGGTCCCACCTCTCGACAGAGAGTCCGAGTTCTACAGCTGGTACTTCATCGTTCCAAAGAAGGGTGGAGGGTTGTGTCCCATTTTAGATCTGCGTCAGTTGAACCGCTCAGTAATGCGACTGAAGTTCAGGATGCTCACACTCAAACAAGCCGTGTCTCAGATCATGTCCGAGGACTGGTTCGTCACGATCGATCTAAAAGACGCATACTTCCATGTCTCCATCCTTCCCCAACAAAGGAAGTTCCTGAGGTTTGCTTTCAGGGGCGAAGCTTACCAATATCGGGTTCTTCCGTTTGGCCTTGCACTCTCACCCTGCACTTTCACAAAGTGTGTGGATGCAGCTCTGGCTCCACTGAGACTCCAGGGCATCCACATACTCAGTTATATAGACAATTGGTTGATATTAGCTCAATCGGAGCAGACGGTGGTTCGGCATCGAGATGTCATTCTCGCCCACATGAAAGAGCTGGGGTTGAGACTGAACGCAAAGAAAAGTGTGCTTTCTCCATTACAGAGGACCACTTATCTGGGCGGGGTGTGGGATTCGACCATGATGAAGGCACATCTGTTTCCTGCTCGGATCGAGTCAATTCTCACTGCAGTCGTGAGAGTTGGAGAAGGCCGCTTCGCTTTCAAAAACTGCTGGGTCTGATGGCAGCTGCGTTCAACGTGATACCTTTTGGCCTGCTGTACATGAGACCCCTACTGTGGTGGCTCAAGACCAAGGGGTTTTCCCCGAGGGGAAATCCGCTTCCCATGATTAAGGTCACGCGGCGATGCTTTCGTGCCTTAGACATGTGGAGGAATCCTTGGTTCTTGTCACAGGGCCCAGTGCTGGGAGCTCCTTGTCGATGCATAACGCTAACGACGGATGCATCCCTCACTGGTTGGGGAGCAGCCATGAGTGGCCGCCCAGCCCGCAGTCTGTGGAGCGCTGTGGCTCTCCATGGGAGATTCCCATCAGGAGGGATCTCCTCTCACAGGCGGGGGGCACCATCCCGGAGTTGTGGAATCTGTGGGTGTGGCCTCTGGGGGGGCACAACTCATAGCCTCTCAACTGAGGTTGTTGAGACCATCCTCCAATCCAGAGCTCCCTCCACTAGGAAACTGTACGCCTTGAAGTGGAAGCTCGACCCTGTTAACTGCCCGGTTGGTTCAGTGCTGGAGTTCCTGCAGACCCGTTTCTCTGAAGGGTTGACCCACTCCACCTTGAAAGTCTACGTGGCGGCCATAGCGACCTACCACGCACCTCTTGGTGGTCAGTCTGTGGGCAGAAACCCCCTAGTTACACATTTCCTCCGCGGTGCGCTGAGGCCTCCGGTATGATCTTGTGTCCCACAGTGGGATTTGGCTGTGGTGCAAGAGGCTCCCTGTAAACCTCCTTTCGAGCCTATTGAAGGGATTTCTGATCGCTTTCTCACTATCTCCTCTATCAAGACATTGGCCCCCTCTTATTTAGACTTTGGGTCCGGCTTGGCGAGCATGGCTTGGCGACCTTCTCCACAGAGCTGCCCTGTGGAGAAGGTCGGACCAACTGCTAGTGTGCTATGGTTCCCCTAAGAAGGGTCTCATTCCACTAGAAGTGTGGTGGCCTCCAAGGCCGTCCTGTCAGGTGTTTCTCTGCAGGACATCTGCAACGCTGCGGGCTGGTCCATGCCGCTCAACTTTGTGAGGTTCTATGACCTCGATATTCATGCCACTCCCAGCTCCTCTGTTCTCTCGCCTTAGTTGTGCTCTTCCACACTAGGCAGGTATTTGAAAGTCTGGCGGCGTGGGCATACTCGTTTCCAAAGCGTTTCGACGCAGCTCGAGTTCCTGGAGGGGAACGTCTCTAGGTTACGCATGTAATCATGGTTCCCCAAGGGAACGAGATGCTGCGTCTCATTGCCATATGTCCAGCATCCCTGCGAGCGCTTCCCTCATTCTACCAGAAGCTGCCACTGTATCCACCGTACACGCTTTTAAGCTTCCTGGTCTTCACGTCACCCTGCCTGTGACGTCTCGCCCATCCATTGGACTGATTACACGCGTGATTCAAAGCGTGGTCATGCTGAAGGCAATCCCAAAGTGTTTCAACGCAGCGTCTTGTTCCCTCTGGGAACCATGGTTACATGCGTAACCTAGAGACGACCATCCATATGTCCTTATAGGCTACAAAATCATAATAATAATTTGGTTTATTATTGGCTTTCAATGATAAACAATGTTCCCTCTTAGCTGGTAGCGCGGCCGCTCACTTCTTCCACCGCCACCGCGCAGAAGAAATAATAATTGCACGCACACGCAAAAATTCGTTGGGAAAACCATTTGATTGAATTCTAGTAAAAGCAAAAGAATTGCAATGCTCTGGCAAACCGCCAGTTAGAACCGGTCAATGCGGTTGACAAGTTTCATAGAAAGAAAATGGTGTGCGCCAAATGAGTCGCTGTAGAAACCGAATACTTCAATGGTTGAGGATGAAATAGCTCAACACGAGAGACAACTCAAACGCAATGACATGTGAAATAAAACGTCATCATGTATTAAAGAAGAGTGGCTTGATTAAGTGCTGGAAATAGCGGATGATGGGCACAGAACGGTAACAATTTACAGTCACACATTTACAGTCACACAGGTGTTTTGTGCAAACTGTACTTCATAGGGGTGTTTAGATAGCTATATAAGAATTCACGTTCACGTTTTTTAAAAATATATATATATATATATTTAACTTGCAGATCTCAGTTTAAGTTGTGCTTCAGTTTGTTTTCTGTTCTATTCTATATTTGGAACCTGTGATACTTTTTTCTTTGATTCTTTGATTAATAAAACATTTAAAAGAACAGCATTTATTCAAAATAGACATCTTTTCTAACAATATAAGTGTTTACTATCAGTTTTATCCATTTAACACATACTTGCTGAATAAAAGAATATTAATTTCTTTTAAAAAAAGAAAGAAAGATTTTTAGATTTTTAAAGAAATTTACTGACCCCAAACTTTTGAATAGTAATGTATATTGTAACACAAAATTTCTATTTTGAATAAACACTGTTCTTTTTAACTTTTTTTTTTAAATAAAAAATATCACAGGTCCCAAAAAATATTAAGCAGCACAACAGTTTCAACACTGATAATAAATCAGCATATTAGAATGATTTCTGAAGGA